TGCAGAAATCGAAATGGTTCTTGTAGCCCAGCAGGACGGAAGGACCTTGAAATACAGGGGACAGTGGTACAGTCCCATGAAAGTCAGTTTGCACCGGCAAGTTTGGCCAAATCAGGAGCACCAACATATCCTGAAAGGAGCAAAGGTTGTTTGAATCAAAAAAGGATAGGGGTCCTAAAGAATTCATGTTTCCACAGCAAACTGAGATTAGGATTAGCCAAGATATGTTCACCAACCCTCCCCGATCGAATTCCCACATTATGCTAAGCACTTTTGAGGGAGCTGTATTTTCTTTGGAGGCTCAGGGATGATCCCTCAGGCTTCTTGTGGTTGACATGTTATCCCTTTCTTCTGTTTCCTCTTTCAGCCGCTATGATTACTAGACAATGGGATGATGGAGCCACAGAAGGTGTGTGTATGCTGCATTGTAAAAGATTGCATGGGAATCATAGTTTATTGAGATTCCCCAACATAACCGGTCAGTCTCTGAGAGCCTGATCAGTTTGAAAGAGTTGATAAAACATAGTTTCTAGAACTGCCAAGGTGTGAATGAGACCCAAGACCAATATTCCCTCTGAACTTCTTTCAACCTTCTCAAAGGTACCTGCCAGGGGTGTGACTTCAAGGGCCCCAGCAGATCTGAGAGATGCACCGAGGGACTCAGGCATCAGAACTGTTGCAGTGATTTACCTCAGTTCTGAGAAAGGTTAAAACTACCTGGAGGTCATGTAGGGAAGCACTTATTTCATTATTATGGACATTTTCTTCCTGGAAGGGAAAAATATAGGAACACCTAGTGAATACTCAGTGGGACTGAACTGATAAAACTGATTTTGTTTTCTCTATTAAACAGCAACTGTATTTTATTTGCTTGCTGAATGTTGGTGAATTTTCTTACTGTTTAAAACCAGATAATTGGAGAAGTTTATACTTCTTTTCTATAATACTATAATACTCTTGAAAGCCACCTGCAAAATTCAGATCAACTTGTAAAACTGGTCTACATGGCCAGTAAATAATTTTTTTTCTCTAGGTTTCTAGTCCTTAATAAAGGCTTCTTCTCACTGCTTGAAGAGTTTCTTGAACTTTCCACTGATGGAAAATGGTTGTGTTCAACCTGCTATCTTTTTTTAAATTTTTAAAATGTTTATTTATTGTTGAGAGACAGAGAAAGAGAGAGAGAAAGAGTGCAAGCAGAGGAAGGACAGAGAGAGAGACACAGAATCTGAAGCAGGCTCCAGGCTCTGAGCTCTCAGCACAGAGCCTGATGTGGGGCTCGAACCCACTAACTGTAAGATCATGACCTGAGCCGAAGTCAGACGCTTAACCGACTGAGCCACCCAGGTGCCCCCAAACCTACATTCTTGAAACTGAGACCTTCTTTAGTAAAACTCCAACACTCATTTCATGTTTGCAGAGGAGACAGAACACCCAGAGAGACAGGCTGCAAGTTTTTCTCTCCTTTGGACTTCAACTTTCTCCTCCAACATCCATCTGCTATTTCTCTCCTGTCTCAGGATGAAACCTTTCACTTTTTTGAAACTAACCCACGAACTTGTGTCCTTGATTCCAAATCTCTGAACTTCCTTGGGGCTTATGTTACCTCATCATCATCTTGACTTCATGGCTTGCTCTTAAGCCTCAGGTTTACAAACTCAGTCCAGTTCTCTCCACAGACTAAAACATGCAAGCCCTCCCTTTATTCTGGTTCCTCTTGTAACAACAATCCTACCTCTTTCCTTCCCAAAATGACCTCCTATTAATTCTGCTCCACCTCTAACCTGTGTCCTAACCATTTGAGAAAGTCACAGACATCCGAACCACCAAATCCAACAGGTTTCATTCCCTAAATGCTGTCAAATCTCAGGATTTCTAACTTCTTCCCCCCGTGAATCTGGTTTTCTTTGGCTTCTTTGACAACTTGCATTTTTCTGGGTGATCTACCTCATTTCTTTCTTTCCTATATTAATGAAGCTGTGCCTGGTTCACCACTCTTGCCAGTTATCTTCCCCAATGCTTTGATGCCCTGCCCCAGCTGTACTTCTTATTCCTGATGGTAATGACCGCCAAACCTCCTACCCCAAGTGGTCTGCTTCACCTTTCATTTCCAATGGTTGGCTTGTCAATTCTTCCAGAAGATGGCTTTTAAAACTCAGCCCAGGCAAATCCAAGCTCATCATCCTCATTTTGGCAGATCTTTTCTGAGTGTTTGTCCAGCTCAAAATGGATTCTCTGGAAACTAACCCCAATCCACAGGGTGAGCCACTATCAGCTATTTGACTTGACTTCCTGAACACAGTTGATTGGCGAAAGGACACTCGCATACTCCCTCCTAGTTTTGCAGTGAGACAGAGACTTGGACTAGTTGTAAATGGTACAGCTTTAGGGGAAAGGTCCATGAATTCCTAGTGCTTGGGTCTCTTAGAGTCATCCCAGTTGCTCATCTTTCTGTTTAATTCCACTTTTTTGTGGATCAATGAAATACTCTAGGAAAGTGCTAGGAAAGTCCTTCTTTTGGCTAAGGTTGCTAGAGTTGTCTTCTACTACTTATAGACCTTTAAGTAATAGACCCACAGACACATCTCTAGGTATCTCCAATTCCATCAAGGGCCCTACCATTCCCTCACACAGCAAGGGCTTGAGATTGGACTCTGCTCTCGACTTTTATGAGACTCTCATTCAGAACACTCAAACCATGTCAGTTTTATCTCCAAATAATTCCCTGCCTCTCCATGTCCTCTACTATCACCCTGGTTCTGGCCTTTGTGATCTCTTTGCTGGGCTTATCTAGCTTCTCCATGCTCTGGTGTTCATTCTGATCTTACCACTTTTCTGCCTACAACCTTAGGGTAGGGCTACAGCTCTTACCACAGCACTAAAAGCCCTTCCCATTGTGGCTCAAGGTGCATGGGGCTCGTCTGCTATTTCCACTCCTTCTGTGGGCCAGCCAGGCCTGAGGACCAGCCTCATCCAAACATTCTCTGTTCTTCACATCCTCTAGGATTTTGGTACTGCTGTTCCCTCTGCCCTTTCACCTTGGTGAAATCTTACTCCTTGAAGGCCTATGTCCTTAGAAGAAACTCTTCCTCCATCCTTTTGGAGAGGAGACCACTAGTCACATTTTATGTTCATCTTCCCTTCCAGACCACTAGGCACAAGTTACACTGAATTCCTGGCACCACAGTGGTCGATCAGAAAGTGGATGTTGAAGGCATTGGATCATACACTTGTTTACCATCACTTGTTTACCAGGACAGGAAAAGGCCTGGGAGAAGAGCCAAAGCCAAAGTATATTTCTTTCCATCGTGGCTCAGCATGACTTTAGCCAAAATCAGGGTACATTAAATGGACTGTGCCTCAGACCTACAGGAGTGTGTGTCTGAAAAATACTCACAAAATTGTTTTTGGATTCCAGGAAGAACACATTTATATGGCTTAGAGTTTAAGAGACATTTCCATATACTTTAACTCATTTAATTGGCACCGCAAGCCCATGAAGCAGTTAAAGTTTATGAATCCCAGCTTGTAGGTGAGGGAACACTGAGGTCAGGTGGCTTCAACCAGGTCACATTGTTAATGAGAGACCTTTGACAGGAAACTGAGCCTTCTTTTTTTTTTTTTTAATTTTTTTTTTAACGTTTATTTTTGAGACAGAGAGAGACAGAGCATGAACGGGGGAGGGGCTGAGAGAGAGGGAGACAAAGAATCTGAAGTAGGCTCCAGGCTCTGAGCCATCAGCCCAGAGCCCGACACGGGGCTGAGACTCACGGACTGCGAGATCGTGACCTGAGCTGAAGTCGGACGCTTAACCGACTGAGCCACCCAGGCGCCCCAGGAAACTGAGCCTTCTAACATCAGATCCAGTATCCTTTCTCTCTGCCGTACCACGCTGTCTCTCGGAAGGCAGAGGTAAAATACAATGAAACAGGCTACTGGGGAAGTGAGAATAAGGTGGTGGGGGCAGCTGTCTGCTTGTATGTCCTAGAACTTTCCTTCCCCGCCCCTGTGGCCACTCACTGTCCTGCCGGGGTGGGGGAGTGGGGACAGTGGTTAACCACCCAGCACAGAAAATATTACCCTCTTTCCAGACACAGATACCATCCCCAAGCACTCTGATTTGGTGGCAAAATATTTTAATTTTTCATAAAGCTATTTCCCCACCTGTTTCCCACCCCATAGACTCAGCAGGGAAAAGAACCTGCGGGCCTGTGTGCTGGTAGGGCAGGAGGGCGACGTGTGCATATACATATGTGCGTACATGTACAGGTTTATTTAAATGATCAGATCTACACTTTTGGAGGCTGTTGGAAGCATCTTATCAAAAGAAAACACATTTTAAGCAAGAGGTTAAAAAAGCTTTTCAGACCCAAAGGCCATTTAATACAGTAAATCCTACTTGGGTAGTTTAGCAAACATTTTTTTAAAACCCACATCCAACAGACTGGTTAGTATTGGATACACAGATTTGGTTTCAAAGCTGAAATGCCCCTGGCGTAACAGACCTTCTCATGAGATTCAGTTATTTTATATTATGCCATAAAAAATAGGGACACATATCTATCAACAACTTAAATATTAACTCAATAGGCTACTTGGTGATATAAATAGAAAAAAAAAACACAAGTGGTCACAGACTAGGATTGAGAAGACTATGACATCAGCCTATCCTGGGCTGCAAAAATGTTAAAATCTATCCTAGAATCTAAAACAGGAAAAAGAGTCAAATAATTCCACTCCATATAGACCCCATCTGGCCCAAACCATCCCCCAAGGAAAACACCCCCAACACATGAGGTTTACTAACCACCTGCTACAGATGTTACTATGTCACTAATTAACAATGATCACAGAAAATGTGTCATATCAGAGGTTTTGTTATACACAATGCATTAGGGGCTGCAGGAATCCTCCTGTGAGAGCTACAGTCAGAAGGCAAGCTGACAAATGTCCATGCCACGGATCCAAGAAGAAACCCCAGCTAAGAGCCTCAAGCATTCCTTTGCACCCGAGCTCTCTCTGGCACACTCCCCGCTCTAGTTAGAGGGGCTGGGATGTGGGGGGACAGTCCCAGCCAGGTGCTGCAGCCTCTTACTCCTGAGCCTCTTTGCGGGTCAGCTTGTAGATCGGTGGGTCCGTCCACATGGGTGATGGTGGTGGTGAGCTGGAGTTCTTCCCCACTGTGGACACCCAGATCACCTGAAAGAGGGTTTTGGTGTTAGATGTGTTCAGGGAAGAAGAAAGACAGGATGCACCTCAGTAACAACTGCCCTGACCCCAGCCCTCTTTCACATCCTGAGCTTATAGAGACAACCAGGGCCCCCACGCGTAGGGCTAACTCCTAACCTTTTTCCTCAAGACTCTGCAGTAGTTTCACAGCATTCTTCTCCCAGAGAAGAGATATGAATGATGGATGAATCAGCATAATGCTTATTATCATTTGTAGTAATTATTAACATTTAATGAGAACTTACTTTGTACCCGACGCTATTCGCGATGTTTTATATGTAATCATATTTAATCCTCACGAGAGCCAGCCCAGGTGAGCACTCTGATCATGGCAGCTTTACAGACGAGGAAACAGGGAGGGAAGTAAGGTAACTGCCCCAGGTAAAGGGGCAGACACATGACAGAGCCGGGAACTAGGCCAGGGAAGGAAAGTCTGACTCTAAGGTCTCTGCTGTGGGCTAAGCCAGCACCGCACGCCTCCCCAGTGATGGGGAGGGAGGCACGTACCCACTCCATGTGAGTAATTGACAAAGCAGCTACGCCACGTGAAGGGAAACAAGACCTGCCTATATTTACCAACAGATTGGGCAGGGAATACACGTAACACATTTAGAAACATTTAAGAGTTTTCTTCTCCAGGAAAAAAGTACCAGAAATGTGTTCTGAATTTTCTGCTGCCCCCAGGATTCCGTATACAACACCAGTGTTTTGGACTCATCGTCAGTGACAGAGGTGTTCCTCTGCTAAAATGGAATAATGTAGTCTTTTCTCCACCAGCAAGAAAAAATAAGTTTCTGTAAATTAAAGCGTTCTCCTACCTGCCAGGACACAAATTAAATGAATGTATAATTGGCAAAGGGAAAATGGAAAACATCAGGACCTAACTGTTTAAGGACTGTTGTCTGAGGGGCATACACGTGGATTTGGGTATTTACAGAAAGGGGTGCTGGTTATGTCTGTGATTTTTATATTTATACCATGTACGCACGATTTCATATTTTGGGGAACTAAAATGTTTCCTAAATCAAACCACAGAATTAAATAAATAAGTGCTGCTTTCAACTGGGACTGAAACTTAGAAGCGACTTTGGCCCTACACTTACAACTAATGTCTTATCACTAGTCTAAGAATTGCTGAGCATCAGTGAATCTCATGGTCTCAGAACCCCAGGAGTCACCCCACACACTGGTCCCACAGGCTGCATGGCACCTTTCACATGTGCCACATGTATTAGTTTTTCACTGTAGACCCATTTCCCAGCAGCTGTGCAGATCAATCGGTCTTATTAAATGCTAGTCTGTGACTCTCTACCTAAGAGACCCTACTTTCAGCAGCAGTCCTAAGCTGTTGCAGAGGACTGTTGATGGTTATTTGGGGCTACTGAGGTAAGGGTCCAATCCACAGGACTAGGGGCAGAGCAAGTAATAAAGGGGGTATCAGCCCAGCCTCCGGCACATCCAGCTTCATTGTCCTTCGGGCAAGGGCACAGACCAGTTGGGTGCAAAGGCTGCAGAGGCTTTACACAGGGCCCCCTGGTGTCATGCTGAACCGTGATTTGTGATTTGTACAACAAGTAAATTTCCCCAGGTCACTAGCTTGCATTCTCACTACTGCAACTTCTAGCCCACTCTCAGTCTACCATAATGCAGAGGCCTCAAATTTCTTGGTCAAAACTAGTTCTTGATTTGCATATCTGGGCGAGCCATCAAAACTTCAAAGCCACTGTCAGATCTGCATGTCTGTGTGAGTCATCAAACTTTCAAAGAGAGCCCCGCCCACCCCAGTAAATACATTAGCATCTCCTAGTGTTTACCTAAAGAATCCCTTTCACTAAAGACTTAAAAATAGACACTAGAATGTAATTCTACTGAGGTTTTGAACCCAAGATGCTAATTCTTTAAGCTTAGAATGTGATTCTAATTAGCATGTCCTAAAAAATGTATATATGATTCTACAGATCACTTGAGCCAAAATAACTTTGGCTTCTTTATTTTTTTTAAACTTTTTTTAAATGTTTATTTTTGAGAGAGAGAGAGAGACAGAGTGTGAGAGGGGGAAGAACAGAGAGAGAGGCACACACACACACACAGAATCTGAAGCAGGCTCCAGGCTCTGAGCTGTTAGCACAGAGCCCAACGCAGGGCTCGAACCCATGAACCCTGAGACCATGACCTGAGCCAAAGTCGCATGCTTAACCAACGGAGCCACCCAGGCACCCCTGGCTTCTTTATTTTAATGAGTACCCATGTTATAGTGTTTATCATGTACCTGACACTGTTCTAAATACTAATGTATTTAATCCTCATACCAGACCTTTGACAGAAATACTGTCATCATTCTCATTCTACTGATGAAAACACTGAGGCACAGAGAGGTTAAGTAACTTGCCCAAGGGCCAGATTAGTAAATTATGTGGGATTCAAACCAGAACAATAAGGCTCCAGAATCCAGGCTCTCAACCTTTAGGCTATGTTGATTCTTTTGTAAATATTCTAGTTTCCAACAGCCAAAGAGTCTGCCAGCCAAGTATGAGTCCACACATAATGTGTTATGGTCATAAATATATACACGCAATAATCTGGATGAATTGTTCAGCATATTAATTTTACTTTTGCGTTTGATAAACAAGAATTTATAGTACACAATATCAGTGTACTGATAGTAAGGAGAGTTGTTATTTATGAGTATTTATCGTATGCACTATTAGGGGCTCAGCATGCCCTGTATTTCTTTGTAAGACAGGAAGACACTGAGGCTCAAATAGGCGATTAGAGAAATTATTCTCTAATGTGGCCCAGTTTGCTCCTGGTAGAGCTGGGATGAGGACCCAGCCAATGGGTCTCTGGCTAGCAAACTCTATGATTCACATGTGCTTTTATTGTATCCTGAAGGCTAACCCCGCCCCCCCTCCGCCTTAGGGAATAAATGTGGGAATATGGCAGTAACATGGCAGGAGTGGGGATCCCTCCATTCCCTCCAAATTCCATCAACTCCTACTTCTGCCAAGGTCTTGCTCCATCTGTTATTCTCCTTCTTTCTTGGCTCCTGCTACTCAGTGCACAAACATGCTCGGAGTCTCTTTCCATCTAAGACAAAAAAAAAAAAAAAAAAAAGCCTTTCCGAAAATGCAGTATGTTACATACTTAGTGGGGAGGGGAAGAATAAAAGGGAAAAAAATACATTAAGAAAGGTAAAGAAAAGAATTCTTCAGTTTGCAGTAAGTCTCTTTCCCTGGTTATGGTGTCAGCTCCTCTCAGATAATTAACAAGGAGATGAAGGCTTGTTTGTGTCTAGCCGTTGCAAAATGAGACCAGTCTCTGGCACTGGATTTAATCACTGAGGACTATCAACGGATCCATATTTGTGATATTGCACCCACAGGTATGTAGCTGCTTGCTACCGGATTCTAACTGGCTGGAATGCGTCCTGGGGACACACAAAGCTATATAAACTGCACTATAACGAGACAACAATAACCACAACTCCTTACGACTGGCTGCATTTTAATGCCCATCCCTTGCCTATCTGTGGCTACTTTAGTATAAAAGGAAGGAAAACTGCTAAGATAATTCCAAGATTATTTCACAGAATCTGGGAGACCACCAGTCTTAGAATATGAAAGGGGCTACTTAATTCTAGCCTCACAACCACCACTAAGGCAAATGAACACCCCATTACCCAGATCCAGAAGCCAGGAAGCTCCCATACCATGAGTTTATATTTCTTTAGGTCATACTCAGTACATACTGGAGCCAGGATTCCAAACGGCCTATGTCTACCTCCAAACCTTATGTTCTTTCTGTAACACTCTTGACTTCATTCTTTCTTGTGGAATTTTCTCTAGTCCCATACCTACTGACCTCCTATTCTTCAAAGCTATGCTCAAAAGATAACTCTCTGTAATAAAGTCCAGGCTGGTTCATGGCAGAAGGAGAAAAACAATGAGGTGGTTTATAGCAAGCTTGGGATGAGCCATTCCCCACCCACCTCCAAAGTGCCTCCAGATATCAAGTTCTGGGCAATTGCAAGAGGGTGGACACAATAAAACCTAGAAGCTGTGAGTGAAATCTTAATGTTATCGGCTGAATTATACCCTCCCCAAATTTACGTGTTAAAGTCCTAATTCCCACCCACTACCTCAGAATGTGACTATATTTGGACATGGGGTCTTTAAAGAGGTAATTACGTTAAAATGAGGTCATTGGGGTGGGCTCTAATCCAATATGACCTATGTCCTCATACGAAAAGGAGATGAGGATACACATACACACAGAGCGAAGGCTACGTTAAGACGTAGAGAGAAGATGGCCATCTATAAGCCAAGGAAAGAAACTGCAGAAGAAATCAATCCTGGGGATACCTTGAACTTGGACTTCTAGCCTTCAGAACTGTGAGAAAATAAATGAATCTCTATTGTTTAAGCCTCCTAGTCTGCAGTATTTGTAACAGCAGCCTTGCCAAACTGATACATTTAGGAAGCAGAAAGTTACTCCCCCAAAAGTAACTGAGGGAAACAGTGACTGAGGTACCTCCTATTATAGTGGAGTGATGGTAATTCCAAGACCTGGAAAAAATGATCTACTTTGCCTGGGAAAGGAGAGATCAGGTCACTGGAGGGACAGCAACCTTGGGAGAGGCAGGAGACAGAAAGTGCCCAACTACAAATAACAGAGCAAGAGGTGCTAGGCTAATGATGGCTTGTGACCTGCTTGCAAACTTCATTAGAAAATGGGAAAAGGCTACTGAGACCCACTTCCAAGTCTGAGCCCAGCCCTGGTGGTAGGACCATTTCCATCACTGCTCACAGACATCGAGAAGCCAGGCTAGCCATGGGTGGGTCATCTAACATGCAACCAAGGGGAAGGCCTCAATAAAAGGCAGCCACTGTCAGAGCCTCATGACTCAAACCAAACATTTACTGAGGCAACAAAAGCCAAAGCCACCTTTTCTGTGAAACAAGCAGCAGGAG